TTTTTTTTTTTTTTTTTTTTTTTTTTTGACTGAATGATATGCTAGTCTGGAATTAATCACAGTTGAATTTTTCAGCCTCAGCTAGCCAGCATCAATTGTTCCAGCAAAACAAATGATTCACTTTGGTAGTACTGGTCTCTTGTTAACCACAGCTGGTTCTTCAGCCTCCTTAGTGAACAGAAACTGCAGTATATTTAAAATACGACATGAGTGACCTAGAGCATTGCTCTCAACCTTTGTATTGCTGTCACCGTTTAATATAGTTCTTCATGTTGTGGTGAACCCCAGCCATAAAGTTGGTTTTGTTCCTACTACATAGCTGTAATTTTGCTACTGATTAATTAATTTTTTTGTTTTGTGCATTGATGTTTTGCCTGCATTTATAGATCTTGGAATTAGAGTTGTGAGCTGCCTGCCATGTGGGTGCATGCTGAGAATTGAAACCAGGTTCTCTGGGAAAGCAACTGAGTCATCTCTCCAGATCTTGCAGCTGTTAGACATTGTCAAATGGGTCACAACCACAGGTTGAGAACCCCTGGTCTAGAGTCTCCCATCAAGGAAAGTTCAAAGTCTCTCTGAAATGTCTTAAGTTGGTCACCCGTCCGGCATCTGCATTTCCCTCAGCATTATCTTCCAAGATCTCAAACAGCTCTTTAATCTCTACATTCAAAGACTTCTACAGTCCAAAGCTCCAAAAATGAGTCCACAATCCTTTCACAAACCTCATGGTCAAATCCATCACAACAACAACACCTCTCTCTTGTACCATTTTTTTTTTCAGTTTGGTTTTAGTTCATGACACAAAGCAACTTGAAGAGTAAAAAATTTATTTGGAAAAAAAATTATTTGGTTTATAGGTTATAGTCCATCATCTGGGGAAGTCAGGCAGAGTTTTAGGCAGGAACTGAAGCAGAGACGATGAAGGAATGGCTTGCTCAGTTACTTACTTTATAGAACCTAGAACGGCAGGACTGACACCACCCACAGTGGGCTAGGGACTCCGACCTCAATTAGAAACTAACAAAACGTTCCAGGCATGTTCATCCCCAAATCTGATGGAGGCTGTTAGGTATGATCTTCAGAAGAGCCTCTCCGCTGAGGCAAAATAACTCCAATTAGACCAGATTAGACCAAATCAAAGATGCCCACGTTTAATGAATGCAGCACTCCCGGGGGGGGGGGGGGGGGGGGGGGGGGGGGGGGGGGGGGGGGGGGGGGGGGGGGGGGGAGGGTAAGAGTGGGAGAGATCATCAAAACCAGCGACCATGTGTTTCTCTTTTCAGTGTGAGCCTAAATAGCCCGTGGGAGTGGTCCTAACCCTCCCTGGGGAGGGGTCAGCACTTGATGGGCTTCCCTGTGGTGGAGTCCGGACCAAGGCAACTCCCAGGGGAAGGGGCTTAGGATGGATGCCAGGGACTGGGGTGGTGCTTCCAATCAGAGGTAATTCCCTAGTTGATGTTCCCTATTCCCAAGTGTGTCAGATTGACAAGTGAAGCTAACTATGACACTTGGCTACTTAGAGATCTAGATAAACATATTTTTATTTATTATATGGATTTAAATTCGTTTAGGAGGAATAGCAACCAAATGTCCAGTGGATATGAAAAAAATCTACATTAAAAAATCATTGTTTAAAAAAAAAAAGAAATGAAGTAATTTCAGACTATCCCTTCAAAAATGAAAGAAATGTGGTCTCAATTAATAAACATAATTTGTCTTTTGGTCAATAAGGGGCCATGCTGAGAGGAATCAGTTTGTAACGAGAAATTCTATTTTAAATAACTGATCAACATTCTAGGTTAAGTCCAGCAGTGTAGGCTCAAATCTTGTTGCTCAATGTCTGGGAATCACAAAAAGAGATAGTGCAGGCCATGGCCCAAGGGACGGTGGAGTCACGGTGCAGAGGATACTGCTTGGCAAAGTTCCAGCAAATCCTCACCCAGGGTTCAGTTGCTGGGTGCCGTCTTTTGCTTTCATTTTTAGGAGCAGATGCTTGCATGATGGGGAGTTTTCTGCCTATGCAGTCCCTGGGGAAATATATTCATGTTCCCAAGGGAAACTTTGAAGACAGGGGGTCTTGGCTGAAGGAAAGGTGAGTCACAGTAGAAAGAGTCTTCCTTATGTCCCAAGAACCGTGGCACCAATAGGGCAGATTCTGAGAAATTTCTTGTTCAGCTCTGGATACAAATGTCATAAATATATCCTCTTCTGTGGCGCTGTCAAGGATAGTTAGGTCAGAAATGTCACCACAGGCTCGTGGGCCCCTATAAACCTGTCCGTGCTATAAATTCCCTTCTCCAGGGTATGCAGCATGTAAGACGGGTAGCGGGGGATGGATTCCTCCAAGCGGAAAAAACTCAGTTGCTCATCTTCCTGATTTGAACACACCATTGCCCTATATCGGAGCCTTTATAGAGAGAATAAGAATAGTGTGGGTTGATAGAAAAAGAATGTGGTGCAAGAATCTTGCTCTCTGGGATCCTATGAAAAGAGCAGGCCTTATTTTAAAACTAAAGAACGGAGAAATGCTACAATCAGCCAGCTAAATGCTTATTATAAGACGTTTTGCAAAGCTTGCATTCTAGAAAACATCAGATGATTGCACACATAGCTTGGTTAAGGCAAAAAAATAGTTTCAGACTGTCTAAAGTGCATGAGCAACCAGCCTAGACACGGGCTGTAAAAATAGTTTTATGCCTGATTTGACAAACACTCCCCCAAGGTGTTGTTTCAGATAAGACTGTTCTGTAATTTTTCTTTTCGCCCTGAACATTTAATGAGAAAGTAAAAATGGGATCTGGGGCTCTGATGCTGACTTAATGTGGCTAATATGCTGTATAAAGAGAGAGAACAGCTGAACCCTCCGGTGTGCGTTCGTCTCTTTCTTCTTCAGCCGACTCCACACCCCCTCTTTGGAACCTGAACCCCACTGAAGCTGGATTTCAGCAGAGAAGAGAACTGGAAGGAACTGTTGGCCCTAGGGGGAGTTGGCAGAATTGGGGTTGTTCCATCTGAAGAGTAGCTGAGAAGCTCTGTCTCCATCTTGTGGCCATTTCGGATAATGTAGCTGGGGTTTTTAGGTAACAGCACAGAGAAAAGGTCCAGTTACAGCAGTCTCCAGCGCCCATTTCCCTAATCTACTTGGGGAGAGAATATGTAAATCATTTAGGTTTTCCAGCTTCTATAGCAACTCTAGCCAG